AGCCATTGCTGCTGCCACCTTATTGGTCAACCACTCTGCTGACCTAGTTTAGGTCACACCTTGATAATAGCTGTTCCTCACCCCATCTCTGCCTTACTTTCTCATACTAAAACTAAATTTCTGTCTTCCTCTCGCTTGACTCGCTATGAGGCCACACTCCTCTCTTCTTCTCATATTTCTGTCCATTGTTGTCCCCCTTTAAATCCTGCCTCTCTCTTGCCTATAACTTCTGATGGAGAACCCCATGATTGTGAATTTCTGTGCTCCGTACTTTCCAAACCTTGTCAGGATCTATTGGACATTCCCATTCTCAATTGTGACTTTGTTTTGTTTACTGATGGCTCTTACTATCACTCTCCTACTAGTGTCATAGTGAGTGGCTTTTCTGTCTGTTCCCCCTTTGAGCCTTTGACCTCAGGCCCCTGCCTGGTATCAGGTCTGCACAAACCGCTGAACTGGTTGTCCTCACACAAGTCCTGCTATTGGCTGCTGGCCGCTCTGCCACCAACTACACAGACAGTCATTATGCATTTGGAGTAGTTCATGACTTTGGTCAACTGTGGCAATTGTGGGGATTTCTCACTGCCCTAGCCTCCCCCATCAAGAATACTCCACATGTGAAGGACCTGTTAGAAGTGCTCCTGTGACAGTAGTCAAATGCATTCTTCTACCTGATGAAATCCACTGATGAAATAGCCCTTGGAAATTCTCTTGCTGATGCTATGGCAAAAAAGGCTGCTTTAAACACCCCCGATCCCGCCCCATTCTCCTTTGTCCTGTAGACCCTTCCCTTCTTTTGCTCTGCTTGAGGATTTACTTACTGCTCAGGCCTCTTCTCCATCTGCTGAGCACCGGGTATGGACTAACCTGGCTGTTCTCTTGATGACTCCAATATTTGGCACCGTCCTGATGGTTGACCTGTGTGCCCCAGGTCATTGCTACCCTAAATTGTTTGTCTCCAAGAGGGAGTGTTCTCATCCAACAACAAGGAATCATTTGCCCCGGAAGTACATGCCATGGCAAAACAAATTTGCTCCACGTGCTCCTTTTGCCAACAATACAATGTGGGTCGCTCCACTCTCACCACTCGTGGATCCCACCCCCCACCATGGGGACCCTTTGTTCACATACAAATGGACTTTATCGAATTACCCAAATGTTGCAGTTATGAATATATCTTAGTTCTAGTCTATATGTACAGTGCTTGGGTTGAGGCCTATATATGTGTCAAAGCTGATGCTATTACAGTTCCTAATTGCCTCTTTAAAGAATTCATATTTCATTTTGGTATCCCAAGATATTTGGAAAGTGATAGAAGGACTCATTTTGCAAACCAGGTAATCAAGGAGGTACGCAAAGCCCTCCAAATTGACCAAAGACTTCATTGTAGTAATCACCCGCAATTGAGTGAATGTTCAAACTCAACCTTAACGAATAAAATTGCCATATTATGTGAGGAAACTAACCTGAAATGGCCAGATTATCTCCCACTAGCTTTGATGTCTATGAGAATGACACCCTCAAAAACTACAGGCCTCTCTCCTCATCAAATAATAACTGGATGCCCATGCGGATGCCTGCATCTCTTCCATCCATGGGTCAGTTGGCTGATATCCATGCCTTGGACAGTATCATGCTAGACTATTGTCATGCTCTCATTGTCACCCTTAAGTCCTGTCATTCACAAATTGTGGCTGCTCTTCCCAAAGAGACTCTCCAACCTAGTGCTTGGCGACTGGGTTCTGGTCAAGGTATTTCAAGGGAAAAACTGTTTGACTCCCCGTTCCAGATCTTACTGACTACTAACAAAGCTGTAAAGTGTCAAGGCCTGCCTTCCTGGGTGCGCGCATGGCACTGTAAGAAGGTACCCAGCCCAGTATATTCCTTCCATTTCTCATTTAATCATTCCTCAACTTATGATTTTGTTCCCCTGTTGTAATCATTCTATTCATGTACCATGAAAAGAGTAAGTCTGCTCAGGTGCTAGCAAATTTCCCTGCATGTGTTCCTATAGGCTCGTCTACATTTTCTGTTTCTCTTGAAGCAAAAAGGCCTCCCCTAAGAGTTCATTGAGACTATGAATACACAGTATTGTCTCCAAACCGCCCCTGTCCCATTGCAAGAATCAGCTCTGCCTGTCATTTCTCACTCTGTATCAAAATTGTATTTTCAGATTTCTTCTAGTACTCCAGGTGCTATGCAGTCTATCTATGACGCTTCACTAGACAAGGAACCTTCACTTTTCCCTGGGTACTATTAGCTATCTTCCACAGCCTTTTCGATTTGGGTCATCTAACCAATTTTACAAGGATTTTTTTTTCTGTAAAGCTAAGCTACACTTTGTTTTGTCAAGCTTAAAACAGACCTGGCATCAGGCTGCTTATGTACCTGAAAAGGGCAGTTTCATGAATACCTGATCCATTGACTTCTGTATTTCCTAGGATCATCCTATCATTGAAAAGTGTAAGAATTTCACCGGTGTGTTAGCAGGTAATGTAGCAGTTACTTTTACCTCTCTGGCCCTCCTTATCATCTTATAGAAGAATATCCCTAGTTTTCCAATGCATTGTCGTTTTGCACACTCTACAGCATACTTCAAAGTACACTTGCCACTTTGTGACAGCATTCCCTTACAAACGGGAATGAAAGAGACCTGAGCATTTCTTCTAGACCAGGGGAAGATAAATAGATAACAGATAATCAGAGTTGGAATATTTGAGGGGCTGCCACAGAAAGAAAGGGGTCATCTAGTCCAACCCTGTGCCCAAGCAGGAGACCCTACACTATTTCTGACAGATGGGAGTCCAATCTCTTCTTTAAAGTGTCAAGTGATGGCACTCCAACAATTTCTGAGGACAAGCTGTACCATTGGTTGATTGTTCTCACTGTCAGAAAGTTTCTCCTCATTTCCTGATCAAGTCTCTCCTTGTTCAGTTCTCATCCATTATTCCTTGCCCGGCGTACAGGTGCTTTAGAAAATAGCTTGACCCCTTCCTCTCTGTGGCAGCCCCTCAAATATTGGAAGACCTCTATCATGTTTCCCCTGGTCCTTCTCTTCCCTAGACTAGCCAAGCCCAGTTCCTGTAACTGTTCTTCATATGCCTTTGTCTCCAGTCCCCTAATTATCCTGGTTGCTCTTCTCTGCACTTTTTCTAGAGTATCAACATCTTTTTTATAATGCGGTGACCAAAACTGGTTGTAGTACTCTAAGTGTGGTCTTACTAAGACTTTATAGAGTGGTATTAGTACCTCACTTGATCTCGATTGTATCCCTCTGTTAATGCAATTTAGGATTGCATTAGTAATTAATTAATTAATTAATTAATTAATTAATTAATTAATTAATGCAATTTAGGATTGTATTAGCTTTTTTGGCTGCTGCTTCACACTACTGGCTCATATTTAGCTGGTTGTCCACTAAGACTCTAAGATCCCTCTCACAGTTACTGCTATTGAGCCTGGTTTCACCCAGTCTATATGTGTACTTTTGGATTTTCTTGCCCAAGTGTAGGACTTCACTTTTCTCTACATTGAATCTCATTTTGTTAAATATGGCCCAGTGTTCTAATCTGTCAAGATCCATCTGGATCTTGAGCCTATCTTCTTGGGTGTTAGCTATTCCTGCCAGCTTAGTATCATCTGCAAATTTGGTAGGTTCCCTTCTATTCCCTCATCTATGTTGTTAATGAAGATATTGAAGAGTACTGGGCCTAAGACGGAACCTTGTGGCACCCCATTGCTTGCTTCCCTCCATGTAGACTTAGGCCCATTAAGGACTATTTGTTGAGTATGGTTTGTCAGCCAGTTGCAAATCTATCTGATGGTGGTGCTATCTATCCCACTTTTTTCTAGCTTACCAAAAAGTAGGTTGTGGTCTACTTTGTCGAATGTCTTGCTGAAATCTAAGTATATCATGTCCACAGTATTTTGCTGGTCTACTAATTTAGTCACTATGTTGAAGAATGAAATAAGATTGGTTGGCATGATCTGTTTTTAACAAATCTGTGCTGACTGCTAGTTATTACTTTACTTGTTTCTAGATGTTGGCAGATCTGTTTTTTTATTATCTTTCCCAGTATCTTCCCGGGTATTGATGTTAGGCTGATTAGTCTGTAGTTTCCTGGGTCTGTTTTTTTCCCCTTTTTTGAAGATGGGAACCACATCAGCTCTTTTCCAGTCCTCTGATAGTTCCCCGGTGCTCCAGAATTTTTGAAAGATACGGTGCAGCGGTTCTGAGATGACCTCTGCCAGCTCCTTTAAAATGCAAGCTTTCAAACTTTCAAACACGTGTCATAATAGCATCATCACATGACATATCGGGACATTTTTCCCCTTTGCTAAACCGGGCAGGGATGGGGCTAGCATGTGTTGCATCTGGTCCATGGGCCACAAGTTTGACACCCCTGTTCTAAACTAAGACTGATAAATCGTTGTTCCAAAGTAGCACCATTGGTAGATTGCAAGGTAGGAAAATGGCCAGAAGCTTCAACAATCACCCTTCTTCCTTCCAGAGTTTGTCAAATAGGTTATTTTTGGATGGATATTAATTAATCAGACCCCTGAAAATTCAGTTCAGTCCTTACAGTCTCAGATGGCTAATGAATTACTGGTTAGTGATAGCATGGAGCAAGTTTTCTATACTGTAGCATTTTTGTATCTGTATCTTGTTTTTCCTTATTTTAGGGTGGAACAATTTTATGATTATTATAAAAGACTTTAGGATTGTTTTTAATGAAAAAAAATACAGAAACATACTGTAACTACTGATAACTATAATAAACTATTCTCCTACCATCATAATTATCTCACCTCCTCTAGCATAATTATAATAATATTATTCATAAATAATGAAGCAATTTTTGCTCTAGAAAGAAACTTTATAGAAAAAGTTACTTACGTTTACAGACAGGAGGACGAGGATTCCAACTTCTTTCAGTGCATTTGGAAATCTTTCCTCGGCCTTCAAGGACAAAGCCTTCATTACATGTTGTCTCAATTACATCATTGTATGTATATTGATCTCGTCTAGGTCGAAACTGGCCATTCCTCACTTCTGGAGGGGAACACTGAATTTCTATGGAGGAATATGAATAAAAATAGGTGGTCAATCTTTAACATCATCGAACAAGAAGATTTATCTGTCCCAAATTCTTGGGAAGTTCTTAAAAGATGAAGAAAGATTACTTGATTTTTTATCAGCTAATTTTCATCATCTTTTTCATCAAAAGTCATCAAATGACTTTTTATCATTTATTGACCAGTTATTTACCTAGCTATTTATCAACCATTAATCTTGGGGATTATTTCTGAGCACATTGGGGAACCCTGCCCTAAACTGCTGCTCTGTTGTCACTTTGCTGCTTAGCTTAATGTGATTTTACAATACTCAGGGGAAAAAGAGAGTGAAATTCATGCCCAAATGTAAGAACCACTAATACTAAAGTCATAAGGTGATTTCAATCTGAAACAAAGATAGCCAACTGATTTGTGGATCAATTCTGCCCTTTGCACATATCTTCAAAATAGATTGAGTTGTCCCCTTGTGGAACTATCACCCAAATTTTCCCTAAAAGAAACAATTACTTTTTCTACATTTTGTGCTTTAAACACAAACAGTCTTGATGTTTCTCTTTCCAAGAAATCCTACATGAAACATTCATTCCTATTTGGTCCCACATTTATTGCCAAGCCATATTATTTATGATAGATTGCAGACAGAAGTAAATGTTTGCCTCAAATGATTTTCAGAAGAATAAGGTCCTTCTTTGAAGAAAGACATTTCTAAGTCATCAATTAAAATTAAAGGAAGTATAATATGCAATTTAGCTCCACAAGTTCCAGGAAACCATGATCCCTGAGTTTTTAATTAATCATAGATTATTAAAATGTTGAAATTATAGACTTAGTGGCTCTATTTAAATTATCCCTTTAAAACTAATTATAGTTAGTTTAGGAAATCAATTCAGCGTAAATAATCCATACATTTAGAGGAAAATTGAGATAATATTTTCTTTTACTTGTTAAAAAAAGGAAGGATGAGTCTTCTAAGACAATGCTTGTTATTCTAGTTTTCTGTATGTCTCATAAAAACAAAATCAAACAAAAACATACAAAGACTTCTTTCCCAACTTTACCACAAGGTTTTTAACCAGATGAGATTGATTAGAGCTGCAATTCTAGGCATGCATAGCAAGAAGAATAAAATGTGTATAAGATTTCAAAACTACCATGATCATTAGAAACATACAAACCTTTACATTGAAGCACTGTATCCCATCCATTCTCAGTACATAAGGCATCTGGTCTGTCAAAATGTGTGTATCCTTCATTACAGGAGAATCGTACTCTCTGACCTTCCTTATAAGTTGACGTCTGAGATAATATGTTTCCATTTTCAATATAGTCTACCATACAAATTATTTCTACCATAAAATATAAACAAAATGTTTTTTTTTCCATTAATATCCTCTTTATTCACTTGAATAAAAAAATGCTGTATTACTATAAAGGTTAAAGAAGAAAGATATTTTTGTAATTTTAATTTCATTTTTCCTCCTAATAGGATTCAGGTAGGATCAGGTTGAATAAGTGACCTTTTCCATACTCATTGGGATGAACAATAATAAATCTTAATGTCATCTACTATTTCACAATCAAATGAAATGCTTTCAGACTCAACCAGTGTCTTCATGTTAATATTAAACAGAAGTGGAGAGGGGGTTGAGCACTGCAAGGCCACCTGCAAAGCAGGATCTGTGAGATAGACCTCTCCTTCTACAAATACTGACTAAAACTGTCCCAGAGGAAGGAGAAGAACTTGTGCGACACAGTGCTACCCAGTCCAATTTTCAAAGCCAGTCCAGAAGATTACCCTGATTAAAACCCATTAAAATACCATGGAGAGAAAGGATTGGATGCATCCTTTTCTTACCACAGGTATGATCAATTCCATTTTAATTCTGCACTCAGGTCTGAAATCTGACTGAAAAAGTCCAGAACTTCCTCCATAGTTCTCTGAAGCAATTGCTTGTTCTTAATAACCTTCCCCAGGAAAGGTAGGGTGGGACAATATGGGACATTTGTCCTGCTAGTAGTGGTTTTCTTGAGGAAAGAGTACAGTGCTGGCTCCTTTAATGAAGAAACGACCATCTTCTCTCCCAAGTAGAAATTTACTACTGCCAGAACCAAACCACGTCTCACCTGACAGGAGCCATCAGCCTACCAGGAGGGACATGTATGTATTGTATTGATGGCCAAACTAATGGTCAGGATTAATAGGTTTTAAACTCCTCCCAGACAATAAAACTAGACTAAGTCTCAATTAGTTCTATGGGGCTTCTTCCCTCAAGGTTAGAATGTAAAATGTAGTTTAGAGTGAATCCAAATAATTTATTTAACATATGCCTAGCATATTCCTCACAATCCTCCTTAGGGAAACCTGGGTTGTCTTGAACAAAACCACCAACTAGTACAATAATGACAGAATACTATGGACACTTGACTACTCTTTTCACCATGAGATAGGTCTTAGTAATAGTTCTAACTCACACCCACTTGGCTTCACTTTTTGTTGTCCTTCAGTGGTACTTTAGATCTTTCTTCTCCCATTTCACTTAGAAAGTTTCATTTAGAACCAATTGGAGTTCATCAGTTGTCTGAGGCAGACCAAATAGGTCCAGTCTTTCGGTAGTGGGGAGCAGCCCATAGAACTTCAAGGCAATTAAAGAGTGATCCAACCAGTTGTGGAATTCATTTTTTTTTTACTACTGGTTCTGTGGATGTGGCTTGGTGGGCATGGCAGGGGAAGGATACTGTAAAATCTCCAGTCAGAGGTAGTATTTGCCAGTTGTCCGAACTACTCAAATTTTCCACTAATGGTTCACCAGAACTGGTCAGAATCTGCTGAATTCCACCACTGGATCCAACTATGACAAAGGAGTGTAATAATCACTCCAAATCAGAGTTCACTTAACTTCCCCTCACTCACCTATACATTCTGGAACAGGTGTACTCCAAGTGCCATCAGCCGTACAAGTAATTTTATTAGATCCTTTTATTTTGAAGTTTTCAATACATCCAAATATCACTAGATCACCATATAAAAAATCTTCATTCATTTGAGATTTTTCACCCTGAATAATCCTCCCATTTCTTGGTGGTGTTATTGGAGGACATTTGTTGGCTGCAAATAAAGTAATATTGTGATATAAAGCTAATTAAGAAATGTTTCAGGCTTAGGAAAAAGGAAGCAAGGAAGGAAATCAAACATATCACCAACCATAAATATTTAAAAATCTGGTGATGTGCACAATATAGTTTCCAGCAAAATGGCATTTTTTTTAATGAAACCAAAACAAAGTCATTTTACCAATGTTTTTTCTGTGATCATTAGAAAATATGAATATATTATAAATAGATAAGTGGACATATTTTCAATCAGCATAGAAATCTTTTATTCTATCACATTGAGTAATTGAGCAAATAATAGAAGATGAAGTGCATTATTGTTGCAGAAATAGTAACAATGTTTATGTAGAATATATTTAACCAATAAAGACATCAGCAAAGAAATAATTTATCTCACTCATATACCCAAAGCTAATACTGAGGAACCTTAAAGAAAAATGCACAAAAAGATTAGTTAAAGAAAAAATTATGAAGCTTTTTGTGGTTCTGAATTTTAAAAATATTCTCTGTATATTTTGTATATATAGTACTAGCAGGGTACGCTTTGCTATGAAACTATGTGATTGGGCAAGTTTTTGGGGAGGAACTAAGGGAAAAACTTCTGCCTCTGCCTATCAGCATCCATCAGTATTCATCTGGCTAGCGTCCCATCAGTGTGTGAAAGAGTTGAGGGCTATTTGGAAAGTATTTGCTGTGTGAGCAAGGAGACAGCAAGGAGCCTGGGTGTAGCTTAGCCCAACTGCGGTTGGAACAGATTTGTTTTCAGGTGGGGAGAGGGAGTAGAACTCCTTAGCATCAGAGTGTGTTAATAATAATATAGGAAATACTAATGCTCTGATGGTCATTTAAAAAAATCATTTCTTAGCGAGCACCTAGAAGCCAAGAGGAACATATGTGCCAAATTTCAAGTTTGTAGGCTCTACAGTTCTGGAGATTTTGTGATGATGCGTGAGTGGTATTTTGCTTCTATATATATATAGATATACATTTTTATATATTCTGTATATTTTCACAAAGTGGATATCTACGTAAGTTAATTTAAATGTGGGCTGAATGACATAATAAATGAATAAAGAGAGGACTAAGAATTGGAGATAAAGGTGTGAGATGCCATAACTGTCTTCTACTATTCAGTAGTTTAATGGTTTGGATGTGATGAGGTAATTCTTAAAAATGTAAACATGAAAGCACAATTAGATGGAACAATTAATACAAAAATAAGATTAAAATTATTTGGATGGTATGGTGAAAGTAACATAATGAACTTTAACAGACACAAACATAAATTTCTTCACTTAGGATAAAAAAATTAAATGACAAGTGCAGGATGAAGAATTTATTTATTTATAAAATTTATTTGACACCCATCTCATATCCAATGATTCTGGGTAGCTTACAACATAAAAACATTGAAAAACATGAAAATCATCCACTATAAAGCACAGCAAATAAAAACATTAATAGATAAAATCAAGGAGGCAAGATGGCAAAGAAGTGAGCCAGTCACAGGGGTGGGGGTGAGGGGCCAGACACATCTCCAGTATGATGCTCCTCCATTGGGTCCCCAAGCCACGTGGCAGAGTCAGGTCTTAAGGCTTTAACAAAACAACACAAGGGTCGGATTGACATGGGGTAGGGTGGGCCAGTCCCATCAGGGTGAGATGGTTTCTCATGTAGACTTGACCCATGCTATGCAGGCTTTAAAATACCTAGCTGGTAATGGTACTTTTAGAAGATCTTGAATTGCATATTGAAAAGGAAGCAGAAATGAGATTTCACTTTAAAAAAATTAACTAACTTTAATTTTCAAATTATGGTAGATGAAATGAAACTAACCAAATGGTAATATTGTTTGTTTGGTCAATAACCAGTAAAATTTGAAAAAAATATATAATGCAAAAGTAAAAATCAAATATTAGCGAAACAAAAATAAAACAACAAATAAAAATGTAACATACTATATTTTAAATTTTAAATATCTGTCTATGTGTTTTAATTATCTGTGCAAGTATAAATCTAAAATATTACAATCTAGGAAGTTAAAATATATATAATCTAAAACAAGATGGGTAACATATATTAAATCTGAAGTAATGAATAAAAGATAAGAGGTTATATCTATAACTACTTATGCTTATTTTAATTGTGGTAACCCAGAAAGTGGCTGCTGCACAAGTGATACAAGATTCTGAATCTTCTAGATAAAAGTTCATATATAAATTTATGTTTTAAGGACACAATATAAGCAGACCTATCTCTGTACAATTTACAATTTAAGAATGCATGTGACTTCCAAGTGATAACAATGGTAGACTAAAATGTCTCTGGAGGAGTGGAGATAATATTGTGATGAAAAGTGATAACTGATAATTGAAGACAAGCCTAAGCTACTAGAGCCTCCTTAAATAAGGAAAGACCAAGAGACTGATCACTGTGCTCTGGAAGGCTCTTCCATGTGAGGAACTGCTAGACTTTAAGATCCTTGCAGTGATTTGTTAATCTGAGTGGCTGAAAGTCAAAGAGCTCAGATCCATTGTGGAGCCTTTAAGGACAATTGGTTTGCTTAAAGACTCACTTTCTTAAGCACATTTACATTAAAATTAGTTTAACGGGGAAATGTTTTTTAGAATAGCAGAACAATTAACTACTTGGTGAGCCTTCATTCTGGATTAAAGATACAAATAAAATAACAATTTTAAAAAATTAAAATCAGCAGGAAAAAACTTGATGGGAGTTTGCTCTAAATAAGTTTTAAATGGATAAAAAAGATAGTGAAGTTTGAAATATTACTTTTACACAGAGCTTTTCAAATTATTTAATAAATACATATCATAGTGGGAATACACATTGTTTAGAATTTTAGTGAAGAGATAATTGGTGGACTTTTCAAAAATAATAAGCTAAAGGAATCTTAAAACAGAACATGTGACTTTAGAACTTCAAAGTGTCAGAAGGGACCAAGGGCTTAAGGTAATATAGAAAAGGCAAATGCTGTGGGGAGAGAAACCTCCCTTTTACTTTTGTACTTGGCTCGTTTTCTCTTTCTGGATTACAAATAAATGAATTGGATTCTACTGGAAAATCAGCAAACTTGGAAAAGGAAGGAGAGGATTGTTAGAGCACCCTCTAAAAAGTTGATCACTCCAGAGATAAAAAGTAATAATATTTGAAGAGTTGGGGAAGAATGTATCTGAAACTGCTAAAAGAGACTTTATTTGGAGGAAGATTGGAAGAAAGATTTGTAAATATGAAGGAGAAAGTGAAACAAGAGATAAAAAACTTGGAGAATCTCTTAGGACATAGAGAGGTGAATCAAATAATAAAGAAAGAAAGAAAATAAAGCAGAAATAACAAACAGAAAGATGGAAAAAAATATTTACACAATCTTGGCACTATTGGAATTAAAGAAGGAAAAGAATCATGCCTGAGATTCAGAGTGGCTTCAAAAGACCCCAGTGAAGATCAAGAATAGGTTGTTCAATCTCGACAAAGTTTCTGTAATGGGATGGAGATGAGATGCAGGCAAAGTTAGATAATGCATACAGGATCAGTACACATTATGCAAAGTTAAGACATACACCAGGGGATATTCTTGCCTACTTTGTTAGGAGAAAGACAAAAGATTAAGCTCCCCAGAAACATTTTAATATTAGGTTGAAGATCAACAACACAGATGTATTATAATTGTACCTAATGAAGTTATAACTATGATACTACTTAAGGGGAAAATATTTTTGACTGAAAAGCTCAAACATAAAAAGATATCATTTTGTTGAGACAAACTAGAAGGAGATATTTTTAATTTTGAATAGTAAAGGTGTCAAGTGTTGAGGCAGCTCAAATGGGTATGAAGATTTATTGCAAGCTTAAGCTCTCTACAAGAATCTGGTCAACTGACTGTTAAGAAAAATGTGTGGGAGATAAGAGTGGCATTCAAGGTGGGTTGGACTTAGATCTTTTATGGGCGTGCAAGGACTCATGACTTATGATGCATTTTACCCCTTGGGCTCAGCCCGGTCATCTACAAGAGGTTTTGACTAACACAGTTTTAACATTATGAAATTTCCTATAAATATTTAAAGAAGACATGGACAACAGGCAAATGGAGATGACAGAAGAAACTATACAACAGACACAACAACAAACTAAGGAAGAGGCACCACATTAAGTGCTACAAGTATTGACTTTTTCTAAGTTTTGGCATATAGACTTTAAATGCCTAATGTGAAATATACTAAGGCAAACTCTCCCATCTCAAAAAACAAACTTATTTCATTATTTGAAAAAAAAGAACAATATATAACCTGTTTAGAAGAAACAGATAGTAGTAGAAATTATTAAAAATATTTGATTTACAAAAATTTAGGTGAAGAGTTTATTTCAGTGGGAATCAATAAGAGAAATTGAATGGTTCTGAAACTCACAACTAAAGCCAGAAATGATATTGCTTGATAACCATGGCAGTATGCGGGGATTGAAGTCAATTTTTACTACTCTGATCCCTAATAATGTTTTGAGAGCCTACTTACTTTCACAATGAGGAACCTCATTGGTCCATCCATTTGCTCGACAATCACGGTGATTATATTGGCTGAGCATCTTATACCTAATAATTAAAAAAAGTTAACTAAGCACACAAATACTGCAACAAGATTATATATCAAAACATATTTTATAATAATTTAGAACCTATTTAGAAGATGCATTATTTTAATTATTACTGATCATTTTTGGAAATGTAGAAACAAGTTTAGTATTTATTCTCAGAGTCAGAAAAAAGATGAGAAACTCATTCTCCCCAACTTTTAAATTTATTTTCCCTTCCAAAACTTTTGAAACTATCATCAAATTCAGAACCACTTCTGGATATACAATATTGTATTTCCAAAACAGATTATGATATTCAAGTTTTTTTATTAAAAAAAATGGAGAGAGAGAGAAACACAGACAAACTCACACAGCACAAATAATATAAAAGGAACATTATATATATTAAATATAGCAAGAATACAATCCCATGATTGTATCGCTGAATTGAGCAGCATGGTGGTGATATATATGTTCACCTCCCACTCAGTAGGTTATTTTTTCAATCCTAGGTAGAGACAGATGTTTCTCTCCTAGGGTGCAAAGAAAAAATAACCACTACGAATTCTGGGTAGACATCAGGAAGGGAATTTGGCTAGTAAACACTCAGCTTCATCCAGTTGCCCAGACTCTACCCTAAATAGGGACTACAGGGTCATATAAAGGAAACATTGTATCCCATGAGCCAAAGTTCCATGTTTCAGGAAGCATTTGGAACAAAATGTTACAGATTTTGGTATTTAGTACCTGGTAATAAAATATTTTAAAGATTTGTAATGAAAATCTCAGGAATTATTCTCTATATTAGAGCTCCCTCTTATAGTAAGAGGTATATTAAATGAAAACCAGCAGCTAAAAGTTATATGTTATTGATATTACAATATTTTATAAAATACAAGTTACTGTGTACCTTATATAAATCTAAAATGTATTAAAATTGCAGTCTGTTTTAATCAGACTAAAAGTCTTGTTTGGATTTCTCAGACAAATACAAACATGTATGTATGTACTACAGTGAAAAAAATGAAATTGTCAATTAATTATCCCTTGTATAGGAGTGCCCCCATGTGGTCCAAATATTTAATGATGGTATAGATAAGGGATAAAATTTAATAGCATAATAACATTGTGTAGCAACACCGCAAACTGCTATCTCTTACAAAATACATATTATATTCCAGAGAAAACCAATATGTAATAAAATAAGTTCAGATGAAACAAGTGAGGTAATTCTACCTTCAGTCACCAACAAACCAGCACAGTCAGATGTTTATATCATTAAAATATGGGAGAAGAAAGCAAAATAAAAAAAAATAGACAACAATAATACTGTTGTCTATTTTCACTTAAATGGCTATAATATTTGGGTTTCTCCCACAAATTCAAAGTTTTTTTTAAAAATGCAGAATTTCTTTCAAGTATTTCATTGTACAAATACAGCTTATATCTATAAAAGTTTTACTAAAAAGATAATTAAACAGTCAATAAAGAAAAATAAGCAAATTGAGCTGCTTTGAGTTATAAATTTCAAATGCAGAAATCCCAACATTATTTTAAAAATGTGGTATTAAAAATGTGGTATAAAAGAAAGTCAAGATATTAATAGAAAGCAGTAAAACTTTGATATAAAATACAGTGAAAATAAAGTTGCAATTTGGCAGGATAATGTCAATCTGATATGATCATAGTTAGCTTGTGGCAAAGAGTGTAAATTTCCTTAAAGATTTATAATCCATCAGATGTCCTCAATTCAACCTGCTGCTCCCCCAGGACAATTATTTATTTTATTATTTTCTGCATTGGATTTTTGACAATAAAATACACAGCCTCCATCGCGTAACACTGTATTTTTCAGCCCTTGCTGTTTTTAACTCCCTGTTTTCTAAGTTCTACCAAGCCAAACTTCTATGGATTCCCCAAAACACATAAACATGATCTAGCTCTTCATCTATCGGTCTTATTATTAGGGATCCCAACAACATAGCCAAAGACCGTAAAAAAGCTTGGACATCTGAGACAGAAGCAAATATTCTATTAACTATCATGCTGTCAGAAAAATCAAAGACATAATAAGAGAAGATGAGATTGTGGTTTCATTAGATGTCACAACACTCTTTATACTGTATTTTCAGACCCATAGAAATAATCCATGACAGCAATACTTCACAACACGCTTCAGCTAACTAAATACACTAAGAATGAAATACCCAGAATCATGAACCTCATCTATTCCTGCCAGTACCTTATTTCATTTTGATGGACAAATATACCAACAAATCAGAAGTACAGCCATGGGATCTTCATTCTCTAGTCTCATAGCAGAGACTGTAATGCAGTGTCTAGAAATTATAGCTTCCACACATACAACCAAAAATAAGGATCTGGTATGCAGATGACACTTTCCTCATAACATAAAAGGGACAACTAGTGAAAACACATGAAATAATCAACATCTTCAAAGGAATTAAATTCACAATGGAAGAAACACACTTCACTTCCTTGATATTCTCATTAGCAAAAGAAATGGCAGCAAATTAGAAACACAAGTCTATTAAAAACCACCAACACTAATCAAGTGCTCCACTATTAAAATAGTAACCCAATATTTCATAAGAGAAACATTATTCAGATGAGCACAGATATTCTGCAGCAATGTAGAACACGAGAAAAAGAAAGCAGACAATCTATCCATCTTTTAATAAAACTGATATCTGCACAACTTTATGAAAAAGTGCCTGATCCAGTGGTGGGATTAAAAAAAAATTATTACCGGTTCTGGGTGTGGCTTGATGGATGTGGCAGGGGAAGGATACTGTAAAATCTCCAGTCAGAGGTAGTATTTGCTGGTTCTCTGAACTACTCAAAATTTCCTCTACCAGTTCTTCAGAACTGGTCAGAACTTGTTGAATACCACCTCTGGCCTGATCACTCAATCCACTATAGCAAAACCAACATGGCTATGAAAAAGGATAAATACTGCTATACATCAGAAACAATCAGTGGAATACAGAATAATGCTTTTAAGGTACAATATGGAAAAGATTGCAACTGAATCTTAAGAGGAAAAAAAGCACTTCATCAAATTGGTTTGACAGTGAAACTAATTATTCAGGGAAATGGTAGTTGTAGTTGTAGTTATTTAACTACAGAGCATCCAGAGCACCTCCCATAGCAATTAATCCAGGCTGCATAGGAATACAAGGCTGCACCGCCCACATGGCCTGTCCTGCCCACCCACTCACTTCTTACCTGGCAAACTTGCCTGCTAAGTTGCTATTTTTCCTTTTTCTGACCATCAGCTGTTCTGCTCTGCTGGGAGATTTAGATTAGCTAGAAAGCAGGAAATCGTTGGATTCCTTTCTTTCTAGTTAATCTTTAGATCTTCGGCTCTTCTTTTAAGCAGAGCAAACCTTCCTTAGGACTGAAGCAGTGGAGACTCAGGTAGGCAATGGCAGAAACACAGATCTCTTGAATGAATCTGTGATTCTGTGAGAAACTCAATCTGCCTGCCTGCTTTGTCTTTGGGTAAAAGTTGCTCTTTTTAAAATAAAAACTTCAATATTTACATACGTGGTGTGTGTTGTGAGTTAATTTTGTCAGTTTGCTTGCTAGCAAATTGTATGGGTTTGATTGCAAGCAAATTTTATGTGACAGGCTCAGGTAGCCGATCTCACAGATCTCTGAACGAATCTATGATTGTGTGAGCAACTCAATCTGCCTGCCTTCTTTGCCTGGTTTTGGGTAAAGTTGCTCTTTTTATATAAAAAAGTCAATATTTATATAAATATTTATAATATTTACATACAAGCCATGCCCAGACAGTCACATGACCACCAAGCCACACCCACAAATTAGGCCACACCCACAGAATCAATTAAGAAATTTGAATCCCACCCGCCTGTGTGTGTGTGTGTGTGTGTGTGTGTGAGAGAGAGAGAGAGAGAGAGAGAGAGAGGTTAGATCAGATCTCTCTCTCTCTCTCTCCCACCAATGTCAGCAAGCCACCATCAGTCAAAATTCATATTAGTGGTCCCCGGGATTTAAAATTATGAGTTTGGTAGTCTCTGAGGTCCTAAGGTTGACAACCACTGATATAGATGAATGTTTTAACTGATATTTTTTCATTGAGCCTCTTCCACTTTTATTATTCCAAGACTGAAGTGTTCCAATACACTTCAGGAGGACTACAACTAAAAAAATCCATGACACTTGAAGATCAAATACTCATTATTATATTTCCTGAGAATAATTGCATCTGAATAAATAAGGATTTTATATATAAAATAAAGAAATGTATGGAATTAGATGACATGTTTATCAGGGTTGAGGACAGCACTATCCTATCCCAATCAAGTTAGAGAATATAAGTACAAGCATATTGTTTACTTTTTAAATAGTATTTATTTAGGTGTCTGCTTTAACCCCTAACAAGAACAAGTCCATAATCTCTATTTGAATAGATCTAGAATCCCACTGAATGCTGAAAGATAGAACAGATGGACCTGCTAATGTTGGATGTTTCTTAAATCTACGTCTACCACACTCTCTTCTTGCCCCAATCTTAAAGTGTTTGTATATGTATGCATATTCATATGTGTATGTATGTGCATGCATGTGTGTTTATTCTGCCTTTTAAATATACAAAGTAGAAAACATATCTAATACTCCTGCCTATTATGTTCCCCAAAGGAAAACCTAGAATTCAGAGTGTCTTCATTTCTAAGCCAACAACTCTCTCTCTCTCTCTCTCTCTCTCTCTCTCTCTCTCTCTCTGTGTGTGTGTGTGTGTGTGAATGACATGGACTGTTTTTCTTCTATTATCTCTCTTTTGGCTTCTTTTTTTCTTTTGTAGACTAGCCACATATCAAGACTTACATGCAGGCAAGAGAGAAGGATTCTGTACAAACTCCCACACTAGAATACAATATAAATGCATTATTCTTTTGGGAGACAGAGCTTTTGTTTTTCTTAATACACAGGTTGTATATAATGAATAATTAGAAAGGTGAAAAATAATTATAAAGATATTACCCTTCGTTGCACGTATAGGTAACACGGGCACCAAAAGTAAAGTCATCTCCATGGGTAAGTTCAAAACTAGCATAATCAGAATCTCCAGGGTGACCACAAGATATTCCTGCAAAATAAAATAAAATAAAACGTAATATCATGAAATATAGCAAGAAAATTTAGCATTTGGGAAGCTCTCAGACTGCCCAGTGCTTGCATCTCCCCTTGCCTATTTCACCTTTCCTATCTCACTGTCATTATGAACTAAATCTGGTCTTGAATTCCTGCACTCCTGCTTCACTTCATTGGTGTGTATATTCTGATATTCTGAATGATATGTAGTATATTAAATGCCTTTCATTAAGACATTACATGGCAAATTCACAGTTCTTATGGAAACAGCTATACAATCCTCCTGGAATCAGTCTGAAAGGCAACCTCTAGTTATAATAATGTAATTCATGACACTCGATATCAAGTAAAGACAGAATGCAAAGGGAAACACAAAATGTATTTATTTATTTAGAAAATGTATATAGCCACCTACCCAGTCACAGTGACTCTAGGTGGCTTACAAGCAATAAAAAACAGCTTAGAAAAAAAAAAACAATAACAGCCTCACCCACCCGAGTGACAACACACAATCAAATTAGCCGTTTGATGTGTCCATCCCACTCTGGTTTTCCCAGGCCCTCTGGCAAAATTAAGTGTTCAGGGAAAGAGTATCAAAGTGAGGGCCAGTCTAATTTCTTCTCCAAAGGGAGGGAGCCACCATTGAAAAAACTCTTCTTCTGGGTCCCACCAGGTTTACCTCCTTAGGAGTTGGGACCTGCAACATTCCTTGCCTCCCTGCTCTAGAGGGTTGGATGGGTCCTACTTTGAATGGATGAAGTCTGTAATATTGAGAAAAGTGGAAGAATAGAATAGAGTATTCTTTATTGGCCAAGTGTGATTAGGCACACAAGGAACTTGTCTCCGGTGCAAAAGGTCTATGCATGTGCAAAGCAACAGAGTAATAATAATAATCATAATAACACTACCAATAAGAGGAAATATTAAAAAATATGAGGATAATAATAATAGTACTACAGCCACACAATATCAGTAAATATACTTAGATATAAGACAGTCCCAGAGGCGGGTTTCTGGTTTGGACTGGTTCAGGCAAATCAGTTAAAATTTTTGCGCAGTTCAGAGAACTGGCTAATTGCACCACTGGCTGGCCCCTCTCTACCTCTCCTCTCCTCTCCAACTTCACTCCTTTTCTCACCTCACCCACCTAGAATCACGCCCACGGCATTGCTGCTGCTGCTCTCTGGTTCCCTCACTTTCCTTGACCAGCTGATTTCTGCCTGGTGAGCCTTCCTTCGCCCATTTCCACTTCTCGCCCAGTTGCCTCCCATGCAGCCACTCTTCCCCTGGCCTGAGAAGGTAAGGCAGGGGAGGGCCCCCGCTGTGCTCAGCCAAAGGGCTGCAGGGGGATACGGTGAGGCTTGGCCGCCTTTTGGGCCCAGCTCTGTGAGGGAGGACCAAAGAAAGTTCCTGGTCCGGCCACACAGTGCCTCAGCATGGTGCTCTCCCCTGAGGGTCGCCCGCCCACTTGCCTGCCATCCAGAAACATTGAGTTGCCCCATCATGGGTTGGACGTGGGACCTGAGGTGGAGAGGAGGGTGAGCAGGTGGCAGCTGAAAGGCGGGCCCAAAAGAAGGCCAAGCCATGCCATGTTGCTCCCGAGGCAGCCCTTCAGCTGAATGGGCAAGTCCAGAGCAGGTTTCTCTTCCATGGTATGCTACTTTCCTCATTTAAAATCACGTGAGAATAAGGTGTTCAGCAGAGTGATGGCATAAAGGGAAAAATGTCCCTGTGTCTAGTTGTTTTGGCATGCAATGTCTTATAGTGATATCCTGAGGGGAGGAGTTGAAACAGTTTATATCCAGATGTGAGGGATTTGTAGGGATTTTCTCAGTCGTCGTTCTTATCTGCTCAGTATATAGGTATTCTATGAAAGGCAGGCTGATTGCAATTATTTTTTCTGCAGTTGCAACTTTTCATTGGAGTGCGTATCTGTCCTGTTTGGTTGTTGTACTAAACCAGACAGTTATAGAAATACAAATGATAGATTCAGTAATTCCTCTGTATTACTGTATCAACTTCTGGGGCAGTCTGAAGTTTTTGAGTTGACACAGGAAGAACCTTTTTTGTTGTCCTTTTTTAAATGGTGGTTCTAATGTTAGGAGTCCATTTCAAACCCTGGCAGCTAAGTGGATGGACAGTTACAGCAATGATGACTTTACTTTTGAAAAGTTGGGGACAGAATGTCCAGGAGAAAAATCTATCTACATGATCACTAAGAACAAACATGAATTTGATGGCTTATAATAAAAAATACTAATCAGAAATGGTAAAAAATATCTCTTAAACATTTCATTGATTTTTGCAAAACATTATTTTATTTCTTACCTGTGCAGTTCTTATTAGGTGGCAATTGTCGCCAGACTCCATCATTACATTGAAGTTTAATAGGCCAAGCTTTAACATATCCGGGACGGCATTTATATGATACTGTGTGTCCATGTACATATATGTCTTCATTCAATTCTTGCGTAGGTTGTTCTCGTTCTCTTCTAAGAGGTGGTCCACATGCATCTTCAGCTAGACACCAATGAAAAAGAAACAGCATTTAGCAAAACCTAGCTGCCAAATCTTATTAATAGCTTGTAAAAAAATAAATTAAACATTAATTCTTTTGTAAACAGGTAGCTTTACAAGATAAGGGTAATTATCTTTTGATAAAATCAACTGCTGGACAGACCAGCATTCCCTAAGAATGCCACAGATCATACTGTTTTGGATTTATATGAGTTGTAGTAGTAGTGTATCTGTAAAATCTGGTGGTGGACAAAACTGTAAAAAAAAGGATAAAATGAGTCATAAAGTGTTTGGTCATGTGTATGCTAAATTAGAAATGTGCAGTTGGAAAAAATGTAATTAAAACTTAGTCTATTTCATTTAATTTTCAACCATTGTGTTTCACATTATTTTATGCTACTTTTATGCTACTGTGCTACTTTTAATTTCAGCTTTATTTTTTCAGTTTGGTATATATTTATTGATAGTGTATTTAGATATGAGATCTAGAGGCCACCTAACTCCAAAACAATTCTGGACAGTTTATCCTAAAAAGCAGGAAAGTAACCCAAAAGAAATGTGTTTAGTTTCAAAGGTTTTTACACGCTTCTCAAATATTATCAACATGGGAACCAAATAGGTTTCTGGGAGGATATTATTCTATCAGCAGGAGTGCTTACTGTCAGTCATGCCTTTGTATTTTCCTATCTGGACTACTGCAGTGCATTCCACATGGAGCTGCTCTTGAAAAGCACTTCAGGTCGGGGGGGATTTCAATTTTTTTAACAACTGGTTCTGTGGGTGTGGATTAATTTGTGGGTGTGGCTTGGTGATCATGTGACTTGCAGGGCAAGGTTTGGTGGTCATGTGATTGGGTGGGCATGACCATGTGACTGGCAAACCAAACACAAATGGCCCTCGCTTAATGACTGGTTGCTTAGCAAGTGTTCTAATTTATGACTGACATCCCCAGAGCTACTTGACCTGTTTTTGGAGTTTTTGACAAACACACACACACACACACCCTTCTAACTCTGCTATTCTATGATTCTGTAAGGATCTCCTTACAGAAGATGACCTCTGAGATCCCTTCCAGGCAAGCCCTAGATTGCTGTGCTATTTCAAAGAGTCTTCTAAAGCCAGGGTTTGTGTCCTTTTCTTCCTCTCCTTTTTTTCTCTCTCCCTCCCTCCCTCTTTCCATGTATGTATCTATCCATCCATATAACTCATTCACTTTCTCTTCTCTCTCTCTTTTCTCTTTCTTTCTTTCCTTTTTCTTTCTTTTTCTTTCTTTCTTTCCTTTCTTTCTCTTTCTTTCTGTCCCTTTCTTCCATCCCCCTTTCTTTGTCTATCCCTTTTCTTCCTTTCTCTTTTCTTTTTCTTTCCCTTTTCCTTTTCTTCTTTCCCTTTCTCTCTTCTCCTTTCTTTCCCTCTATCTCTTTTCTCTTTCCCTTTTTCCTTCTCTCTTCCTCTCTCTTTCCCTCTTTCTCTCTCTCCTCCCTCATTTTCCCTCTTTCTCTTCCTCTTTTTCTTTCTCTCTCCCCCCCTTTCTCTATCTCTTCCCTTCCTCCTTCCCTCTCCTTGTAAAGCTAGGAGACACACCTGAAACACACACACGCTTCCAACATCGCTTGTTAACTTACTTCCTGGCTGCGCACTTTCCCTGCCATTGCTCTGGCTGCTCAGCGCTGCACACCAGTAGGAAAAGCAGGCTGTGCCAAAGTTGCCACAGGTTGGGCAGGGTGCGGGGTGGCAGGCGAGAGTCCCATGGCCATATCGGCAGACTGAGCCCTGGACACGGCTCCCCAGCATTGGGATCTTCTGGAGGGGCCCAAGAATTGCCCCTTGGCCCAGGCAATGGTGTCGGAAGAGGCAGCCATGGCCGAGGTGAAGGTCCCATGGATGTGGGGGGCCCTGTGCATGGCCCAGCGCCACTACCCCAGCAACCTCCATGTCTGCAAAAGCAGCTGCCTCCCCCTGGATGCTGCCAAGCCCAGCCGGCCAAGGGAGCACCCAGATGAACTTGAAAGGGATCCCAAAGACCCAGACTCCTCCCCTCCTTGGAGGTTCCCGACCATCACAGCCCCGCCGGAAGAGCCTGCCTTGACTGAGGCTGCTGTCTTGCCCCCAGCCAGCCCCCTAAGTGAGGCACCCTCTTTGCCTGATCTGGACAATGCTGTGGGAGAACAGAGAACCTCCCTGCTGCCTGGTGAAAGCCTGCCAATGGCTCACCTACTGTTTCCACAGGCTGCTGGGTATGTGCGGGAGGCAATCAGGAAGCACAAGGCTAAGCCACCCACATTATTGCCCCTCTGCCAGCCACCCCCCTCGCCAGGCTGAGTGTTTTAGCTGAGTGTGGGCCGTCACTGTGTGAGCTCCATGGGCTGGAACATAAGGCTGATGGCAGGAAAGGAAGATCCGCTCTCATGAGGCTTGACTCGCATTATTCTCACAGTGGTGGCCCACATTCAGCTACTATTCAATGCAAGCCAGCAAGTGGCAGAAGGAAGGGGTGGCAGGCAAGGGGCAATATGGGCAGCATAGCATCATTCTCCCTGGTCTCCCTCCCTCCCCTAGCAGACAAGACTCACCAGCTACAGAGAATCCAGGAGGGGGCGAAATGCAGGCTGGTGGGGACCCAAGTGGTGACGTGTCAGCCCTGGCTTACCTTCTTCTTGGCCACCAGCAAGCCAGGCAAGTGGGGTGGGGTGAGGAAGCTTGCTAGGCCGTGAGTGCTGAGGGCAGCGGCAGCATGGCGTTGGTGGCCTAGGCTGGCCCAACACCGGGACTCAACTGGGGTGGTGGCAGCAGCGGCATGCAAGTGACCGGGCTTGCAGAGCCTTACTCACCTAGGGAAATCAGGTGGTGGAAGGCAGGCAGCGCTGGCTGGCTGGCTGGTACTGCTGCTAGAAGCAATGGCAGGTGGGAAAATGTGGAAAGCAACGTAGCACACATGCACTATAAGGGCTTGGTGGGTGGGTGTGGGGAGAATGCTGTCAGTGATTGTCGTGCATATGTGCAATGTCATGCATGTGCAATAAAGACTGACTGGGCAGGGAATGGAGGAGTGGGAGGAGAGGGGTGGGGACAGCCAGGAGCCCATTTTATCGGTTCTCCAAACTACCAGAAATCGTAACAATCGGTTCTACTGAACCAGTGCAAACTGGTAGAATCCTATCCCTGCTGCAGCTGGTGCAGAATAATGCAGCCTCGGTGGTAAATGGTGTTGCTTACTTGGTGCATGTAACACCACTACTTTGTAAACTGCAATGGTGGCAGGTGTGCTTCGAGGTACAATTCAATGTGCTATCACCTTTGAAATAGTTTGTGTCTTGGAACTGAGTTACTTGGATGAACATGTCTTCCTGGTCACTTTTATCCATCCAATCTGGCCTGATGGGATAGTACATTCTGGGACCCATCAGCTAAGAAATTCTAGTTGGGCCCAGAAGGCAAGCTTTTTCTGCCATAATAGCTACCTTTTGCAACATTCTTGCCTTCTCATGAAACCCTAATGGTGTGCTTCTATGCCTAGGCCTTTACAATTGTGTAATGAGACCAATCTCCTGATTGTCTTAACAATTAATGTTTGTGATTTTTTTTCCCTCAGAGGCTATGCCAGTATGAAAGAGATCTCTGGCAGAATGTAAATGGAGGCCTAGGAAGGATATGAATAGAGGCCTTGGCCATGTTGTGAGAGAAGCCATGGCTGCATCAGTGTGAAAGAAGGCAGCGTAAAAGGTTTTGGCCATTACAGTAGTTGTGTATGGTGTGATGGGTGTGAGAGCCCCTAGCTGTAATAACAAACATTGAAGCTAGTCTTTAAAGATTATTTACTATAGCCTATATCAATAAAGATCTAGTGAAATTGGTGAAATTAGTTAGTCTTGACCTGGACTACCTCAAAGGCAATCAAAGGTTTGCAGGTAAAATATCGATGACAATATTTTCCACTGTCAAATCATATTGCAAGTGACTTGAACAAGTGACCACTAGTATGCATGAGGCTTTCAATGTCTTGAAATAGGTTCATAGTTGCCAGGAAACAAATTAAAACTAAAAGAACAGTTTTGGGTATGTCTGGCAATTTACATGGAGAAAACATGTAATTTTCTTGATGATATTTTCAGAGATGGTTTGCCATTGCTTTCTTCCTAGGTTGACTAGACAGAACTACTAGCTTAAAATTACCCATCTGGCTTTTGTAGCTAATACATGATTTCAGCTAGTCCATATTTGTTGATGCTATTTACTGTAAATAGAAAAAAATCTATAAATAGATTTAATGTGACATGCATAGATTTTTAAATGACCATTTCTTATGCAGCTTCTGTAAAATGAAATTCATCTCCATACCACCTTCATGACTCCTGGCAAGTTCCTGAACTAAGTTAGCCTGCAGTTTTCTTGGCAAGATTTCATGAGTAATTTACCTCCTTCCCAGAATTGAGAAAGCATGACTGGCCCAAAGCTTTTTGCCAAACTCAAATGTTTTCTGGTTTCTAACTTGATGTCTTCTACTGTTATCTCTTTTTTTTAATTGGCAACTGCAATGATGTTTCATCGCATTCCTCCACCACCACATCACACTTAGAATATGTCATATAGCAGATAGTATTTCAGGTAAGTCATGTGTTGCTGTGACATATTTCTATTCTCAATTATTGATTCATGTCAAATTTTGACTAATATTTTAATTCTGATGCCCAACTTTTCCACCACATAGTTAAATATTGCAACAATTTAATCGATTAAAACATTTAAAGAACAATCCTGTATACTTCTAGTCTGAAAGAGAAACTTCAAAAGAACTTCTCAGATTTTGTAGGATATTGAAACAAATTGTTACAGTTTTAATGGGAGTACTTCAGACAAATTTGACACATAAAATGTTGCCCGTCACAACTGTTATATGTAACTTATCTATCCAAACTACTGCAATAATCTGAAGACCATCCGAGACTCTTATGTATAGACATGTTTTTAAGTATCCTATAAGATTAAGCAATTATTCGGTCACCAGA